GGCAACTATCGCAATGGATAGTCATCGGAAAGGTGACCAAAATTTAAAATCTGAAGCTTCTCCGTGCTTAAGAAAGCAGTCTTTAACATCCACTGACGACCTCTGCTGCTGAGTGGTATGAACGCCAGGTTTCTTGGTGTCGCCTACTCAAGAGCTTCTAATCACGGTGAAGGCAGATGTTTGTATGATGAATGCGAGCATTTGTACTCCAGTCTTGGATGTTTAATATATTGTGTTTCTTTATAAAAATACTTAGTATATGTATACATCCGTTACCCTAGTATCCCATAACATAAGCCTACAGTGCTTACATTGGAGCTAGGCTCATTGGTGTGATTGTTGGTAATATTTATTTACTTATCCGCACTGGACCCGCGTGGTGGTTCACATACTAATCTCTCTCCATATATACACAGGGAAGGTCTATACTCCAGAAGTGGAGACATTAGTAGCTGCTGATGATGAAGTTATTATGATAGACGAGACGAAACTGCTTCAGTTAAATTTATTTATTTATCAAACTATATTTATTTATTTAACTCAGTTCATGTTTTCTATTAAAACTATATGTATTTTAATACTATTTTGTAATTTTAGCTTTTATACTCTAGCAATCTCGTACAGGCCCTTCCAAAATACCAGCGCTCTTACGGTGGAAATATTCCCGTCCCATTGTAACAGCAACAAGCTGAGGCAGGTTCCTGATTGGCCTTTCTTCTTTCTGCATATTGTTATTCTCTGTTTGTTTTTATTTTTATCGGTATATAATTTCTTATTGTTACATACTTGTGTTTTAAGGCCAATAAATGATTTTTCTTTCTTTCTTCTTCTTTCAGTTCCTAGTTCAGTAGTAGTTACCTTTCTGTAATAATTATGACGATTAGTGCACGTCATGCTATTCGGGTCATCAGTTTTTCAACCGCTTACGTTCACATTCTTGACTCGAGGCGCCAAATTAAATGTTGTCTCGATTTTTTACTTAAAATGTTTGCCATAAAACGAAGTTCGACGACTTCCAAGCGTTCAAACGATTTATGTTTGAAATTTGACGGTTATATTAGGAAAACCTAAACTCACTTAAACAGATTTTAAATAACTAGATAGGACTGAGACGTTTATTAGTTTTTTAAGTTCCTATGCTTGTTTAACTTGTGATACTAATTTTGTAACGGTACAATACATTGGAAACAATATTTTTATGTGAAGGGTTGCAAACATACGTAAAGGCGCCATCATAGCCTACAGATCACAGACATAGATGCAAATAGATAATGCAAGTGTATGTACTTCACGTACCAAAAGTGAGAGCAGTGGTCGTCTTTTAACGCTAATATTTGTTCGCGTTATCATTCTCGATAACGGACGTCAATCGTTATGTTTAAAAATCTAACTTTGTCACATTAAGCTTTCGAAACGTTATAATGGAAATAGGTGACCAGGAGCCATGCTTTTTCATCACTCATTTGTTTTCGAGTACCTACTCAAAAAATCTGCTACGCTAGGTTTCCATTCAATTTGTAGTCCATGCGGCGTCTTCTTCAAGCTAGGTCTGTGCTGTAGACCCTTTCCATACCAGATTACCGCTAACGCCTCGCCTCTCCATACAACATTTCCTACCCTGTGACAGAAATTACAACACCACCAAGAGTTACCGTTATTACATTTCGATCTTTTATAAAGTAGAGGTTACTACCTCAGAGCGCTCCAATTCGAGTAAAAAGATGAACGATTGACATGGGTACGCAGTGGGTACGCAGTAAAGATGATTTTTATGACAAATGTTTCCAACAATGTGGTATCATTACATTAAACTTTTCGTCAATCAATCCTATTGGCTAGGTATCGGGCTCAACAGTCCGAAACACAACTTACCTACAACTCTATAATGAGGTACCTCTTTTACAAGCCAACATATCATAATGCAAGAATACAAACAAAATATAACAATTTACCAATCAAGCAGCAAACTCCCATTAATTAATCTCGAAATACGAGCCATTATTATGCTGAGAGTTCATAATAATAAATAATTATTACCTTCACACAAATCGTGAATGAAGTTCACACCGAAATCGTCATTTGCGAGCTTTATCGCGCATGTTGAGATCCCAAATATACCTAATATGAGTTACTCAAGCCGATTGTGTTTTGTTAATTAAAATGTAACTCAAGGTCTGCATTTGTGCAACTCGAGCGTGAGAGAGCCGAAAAACAAACGCCGGTCACCCGCCCATGTGTCCAATGAGTGTCCAATGCCCTTATCACATGAGCAAAGAAGACACAGAGTAAGGCTTGCGCGTGCGTGTGTGAGCACTGGCGGCCTGTCGCGTACGCAGAGAAAAGTATTTATTGGTTGCGACAGGCCGCTAGTATTGGAGAAAAATGAAAAAACAAATCCTTTGAAACCTTGTATTCCACGAATCTTCTCGTTTGTCACGTTGCTAAGGAAACATGTGTCAGAGACAACGTTAAGTTGAGTTAACACCTCTAACACTGCCCCTTGAACTTCAATAACTTAAAGTTCATTTGACAAATTACGCCTTAACCCTTTACAAAATAGTTATGTTGTTCTTCACACAAGGGTTTTGTAAAGATGTCAACTATCATTTTGGACTTTGGCAAAAAATAAAACTTTAATCAACCAATAGCCTATCGCCCGCACCTCCCAAACATAGTGATGGCGTATATCTATATGCTAGGATCTGCCGTGAAACATGCTATTTTCAGTTAGTTTACAACAGCAAGTGCTCACGCGCACTACAAGAAGCCGTGCCACATTGCCTTATTTACCTACTCATATGCCCTTACTTCGCAATAGTTGCATGTGCACAAATATTTATGGGCAATTTGTCAATGCCCGGTAACGCGACAGTGGAATTTTGATGAGCAAACGCTATTTGAATATGAAATGCGATATGAAATCTTTACTTCGCATTATGCAAGAAGATGCCATGAAAACTAGTTTATCAGAAACGGCGATTAAAAAGTTTTAATATTATGAATCGAGGTAACATACTCCTTAGTGTACAAGGTAACATGAAATCATTTGTCATACCAACTTTTTTCAGATCTTTGTAAACAACCATACAAGCAGACGTGGTGGGAAATTTCGTTTTTTACATAACAAAGAAGCATAAATTATAACATTTGTAAGATATAGACTAGTTCTTAAAGAATATAGGTAACTATTTATTAATCATTTTCTTCTTATTAAAATAACACAACCCATCGCTTTTACAAAGCCATCATAAACTTTCCACTTTTAATTGGTCCTTCGAGTAAATGATGATGAACAGATGATCAAATAGAGTCGATAGAAGGAATGTTTATGGGCATTCTATAATCGATACTTTCAATTCGATACGTATAAGATTTATATCATCGATAAAGCAGCAGTGAATGTTATCGTCATACCGGAATGCAGAACTTGATTTGTAGTAAATCGAAATACTTGATAACCATAAAAACAAGTTAGCTAGTAATTCTGTCAGCAATGACAGAGACAGAGATCATCAAAGAATTATAATAAAAAAGTCGTCAATAAAACTTCAATCATTATTGCAATCTGAAATTAATAGTATATTACTGCAGCTTCCAGCAAAAGAGGCATTGATGGACGAACTTCGCCTCGGACTCACACATGCAATCAATGCCTAGTTATAGCCAAAGCTTATATAATGCATTACTCAAATAATGCGCGGAAATTATTACTTTTTAAAATCAATGACGAACAACAATACATTTTACCAGCGTAAAGGGGGTTTTCCAACGCGAGCGGAGCGAGTACATCAAAGACTCCGTTTATCTCGCAATACTACAATGCATACATCTGTTTCTACCTACAAAGAGTCAAACGAAAATGACATAAAGGGGGAAAACAGTAAAAACGAGCTCACTTATTTCTGGTGAACGGAGCGAACTCCTTAATGTTCTTTTTAAACTTGCAATCGAATTTTACATAGTAGTCTTTCCACCGAGAACGAGGTGAGTGAAAATGATGAAAGAGTAAAAATGTGTCCGCTGCGTTGCAATTTCGCAAACTAGTTTGAAAATGACCCGAATATGTTGACATAACCAAAATTTTCTTTTAGCACGTTTATTTTTGAACCGCGGTAATAACATGTACTTTTTACTCTTTACACATCACTGTCAGTACTTGAGCCCGAATCACTCGAAGTTGCGACACGACCGTTCAACCAGTCATAAACTTCAACTGAGCTCGCGCGCTGTGGAAATATAAATTCATTTTTCATTTTCAGTTAGTCTCGCTCAGCTCTTTTCTTTCGCTCCTTCCTCCTTGGCGGTGGAAATGAATACTCCCGAACTCTTTCGCGATGGAAAATCAATCCTATTTTATATTATGTACACGAAGACCGCTCCGCAAGACATCCCTAGTTCATTCCTCTTTGGCGGAGGATAACGAGCTTTAAATTATTCGTTATGTTGTTTTTTTTTTTCAATAAACAGCTTTTAATTGCTAGTCGGTTCTAAATGTAAATAAAACCTGTGATAAGTTACCTCCTTCGTTCCCATTTTTCGGAGTAAAGGATTCCATTTTTAAATAACACCACAGACATGGATATTCATACAGCTTTTTCCGGCCGCTGCTCGCATGTATATGGCCAGTACAGCAAATTTATCTCGAAGAAGTTGTCAAAATAATTTACGAATATGTCGGAACTTATATGTTGCCGAGCACCAGTTCATTTAATTGCTAGACGTAGGTATAATGAAAACGCGCAATTTTACAATGGGTCTACGATAATCCTGTTTTTTTATTCTTTAAGGGCCACCCATCAAAAAAATTGAGTTTATTTGACTTAAGTTTTGCAGCTTTTAAGTTTGACTAAAGTTGATGCTGTCACTTTCTTCGCGATAACAATATAATTAGATAACACGTGACGAAATAGAGAATTAACTTAAATTCTATGTTCCTAAGTAGCGTTAGAATGTATTTACTCACTCCTACGATATTAATAGTGCTCCATCTTTTGTTTCAGATAACTCAACAATGACATAAGGTGCCCTATACTAAAAATGGCGTTAAGAATGAAAAAGGACATAAAGAAGGCGTCCTACTACGTGTGGTTCCTGGGTGCGCAGGAGTCGCGAGGGCTGCGCGGGGAGGAGTTTGCGGTACCAGCCATCAGGATACTTGAGGAGAGGGCCAGAGACTTGGAGCCATTCAAAGTCACTTTGCAGGTTGGTATATTTAGGTTAAAACATAGATCTGTTCGCGCTACTACCGGTGGTTCCGGGAGACGTGACACCTTTTCCAGATATTTAAAAGGTTACATCATAGTTAGACGATAATAGTGTTATGAATGAACAAGGACATAAAGAAGTTCCTGGGTACTCAAGGCCAGGGACTTGGAGTCGTTCAGTCTCTTAACAGGATTGCATTTCAGGCTGAAATACAAAACTGACAAAATTCTCCAATCGATTGTCATGTTCAGGTTTTGTGGTAATCTTTTAAGCCTTAGTCCGTAGATAAATTTCTTATGTTAATGACTTTTTCACGTCATCTACAGGTATAAAAACAGACACTTAAATCGATATATTTTCCAAATCACCTCACATCAGATTAATTCTAAACACTTGAAGATTTATTTACTTCGATGTTTATACAATAGCATTTCTGATGCCTACGCTCTTTTAGTTTGGTTTAGTAAGTTATAACAGTATTAGGTAAAATTCAAAAGCTGCCTCCGTGGTATGCTGTGCTCAATATTACGTTGAGAAAACAATGCAATAAACAATAAAAATGCCAACAATAAATATGTAATTTTATCCTAGAAAATACGCGTCTAATGTCGCGTTGGAAATTGTTAAACCAAATAGAGAGCTTCTATCAAGCGCAATAAGAAATATAGTTGATTGAATCGGAGGAGAAATTTAAATTGTGCATCACGATCTCATTTCGTATACTGAATTATGTTGCATTAATCTAATTGGGCTAAGCACATTATTACCTTAATAGTGGGTGTATTGCAGTTTTTCCATTCCGATGTGCTGCAAAATATACCCTCACTCGTACCAAGAATATATCTCTAAATTCCTCACTCACAATTTTTAGAATATTTTATAGTTCAATGTTCATTAAGTCACATTATACCTAACTTTATTCGAATCGCAAATACATAAAATATATTTTAGCATTGACTTAAAATTAGTCGATTCAAAATTTAGCATCACTCGTTACCTCCTAAGTAAAAGATGGCGTGAAATTGTGTAATATAAAAGCTATCTAAGAGTGATTTATAAAATACTCTGTTTCGTGACAGAAAAGGGGCAGCAGAGAAAGTAATTTATGATGTTCTAATTGATTTATTTCCAATACAAAGTGGCATGCAACACCGGCAACAGTTGCATAACTACGTTTGAACTTCCTAACGCTAGGGCTGTCGCGTAACCGGTCTATGTTGGTCCCGGTTGTATTAACATTCGTATAGCTATTAATATTGTTAAAAAAGTAAATTGTTTTATCAGCAACGTTTAGGTTTTTAAATGGAATTTAAATACAATAAAAAACTAAATAGGTACTTACTTACTTCCATTATGATAAATATAAAAAATGTAGTTCTTTTTCTATGCATATGAACTTAATCAAACCACAATTGCTGATCGAAAATACTTAATACGTAATGACTGATATGCGTAAATCAATTAACATTTTTTTAAAGTTGCATATAAGTCATTTATATATGTAATAAAGGTTCTATCTATCTTTCTTAGATCTATAAACAATCAATTACATTGTTTCAAAAGTATCTGCTCGTGATAATATAGTGTTTCGAGTATATTCCCAATATGATAACTAACAGAAAATTTATTGGAAAGTGCTAGCATCATTCTTTATGATAACACTAATATAAATTCAGCTAATTTTTATTTTTCGATGACATGGCTAGCGCTTAGCTGAATTGCAACTGGCAAGTGTTGTATGTATTGTTGAGAACGAATGCATTGTTAAAAGCATAAGAAAAACTATTTTAGTTTTCTTAGAGAAGGAGTTTTTGTATATTCTTATGATAATTATAGATTATTTAATACTCTATAAGCTTAATAATTTGGTATTTTAAATATACAGGGCGTCCCACGGCCTTGCCACACGGAGGGAAAGTATACTGTACTGTATATTGCTGTCTGCTCAGCTATACCTAAGAATATAATAGTTACTATGCAAGTCTCTCTCATCTCCATTATGGAGCAATACTTTTCTTTTACGATTTTAAATCGTCATACTTAACTTTGGTATAGATATAATTATTATATTATTTTTTTAAATTAATGTACGGCTGTTGCCAACCCTAGCGTTATTCTAATTAAATTACATCGAAGCTCCGGATTCAGAGTACCTTATAGTTATGCAAGTATGCGTCACACACTTGTTTCTTTAAATATTATCATTCCGGTATTATAATACCTATAATGATAATAACTCTGAAATTATATATCGATGACCTCCGTGGCCGAGTTGGTTGTACGCCAGGTTTCAAGGTGTCGCCTACTGGAGAGGTACCGGATTCGATCCCGGTGGGGGCAGATGTTTCTGTGATGAAAACGAGCACTTGTTCTCCAGTCATGGATGTTTAATATGTTTTTCTAGGTAATTATACACATACTTATATATGTATCAGTATATGTTTTCTATCCGTTACCCTAGTATACCATAATACAAGCCTACAGTGCTTACTTTGGGGCTAGGCTCGCTAAATCGTCGCTCGTCGTTAAATTTTATTAAGTACACATGAGATAGCAGTCATACAATAGCACGTATTAAACCTTTGTAATTAGGCAAAACATAAAGATTAAAATAGCAATAATATTATCACTACTTCAATTCTAATCTTGTTTAATAGTTAGACATAGATTAAATCAGAATAAACCACCATCAATATGACAACGATAATATAGATATTTCTTTAAAATTGTATAGAGAGAGAACAAACTGTGGTATTGGAACTTTTATAATAACGTACAGACAGTAACAGTGGAACTGTTCTAGGCGGGAACCCTAAGTAAGATCGGCACCTGCTTTGCGGAACTGTTCTGCGCAGATGAGGGACTTTCGTGTGCCTAAATAGATCGCTTACAACTGCATCGAGTAATGCAATCGAGGGATTAAAAGTACCGCGTACAAAAAGTCCCTCGAACCACCGAGGACGCCAAGAACCACCACCAGACAGGACAAAGTACGCGGGTGTCCCAGAAATACAAAAGAACTCATGGACTATAACATAGGCGCAGCAACGCACGCAGTGAACCCTAGTTTGTTACGTTACGTTACGTTTCGATCCGATTTAAAGAAATTGGCACAGTATTCCCTTTTAAAATGTCTTATCATTTTTCTTAAACTTCATGTTAATAACAACACGTGATCTGAGAGTAACTACTTCCATAGCGTGCTGTTTTCTTAATTTTCGTGGGACAGATGTTCAAATATCGTGTGCGTTGTGTCGGTGACAAGTTCCCGGTGGACATTTTCTTCACGATTCAGGGACTTTTATTCTTTGTGGGCAAAAATCCTTCGTCTGTGCAGGTTATAATAGGCCTCTCTCTTAGTGGCGATGTCATTGTGATGTGTTGTGATGATGACTTGTGTTAATATTTGTTCGCAGGTCTCCCACAAAGGGCTGAAGATCATCCAGAATGTGACCGCTAAGGGCAAGCAGCAGACCATTAAACACTTCATCCCGCACGGCAGTATCACAAGCGCGGTGGTCCAGGGGGATGTGGTGGCATGTGTACTGCTTCTGTACAACCCGCTCACTGGATGCCCCGTACATGTTCATGCTTACAGGTTTGTTATTAACTTCACATCTATGCTACTGACACCAGAATGTGACGGCTAAGGGCAAACACTTCATCTGGCACGGCGGCATCACCTGCGCGGTGGTCCAGAGGGATGTGGTTACATGTGTACTGCTTCTACACAACCCGCTCATTGGATGCCCCGTACATGTACCCAACAATGTGAAAATTTCTGGTGTGCCACACTTTTCTATCTCGTCAGCAATTTTCGTGACTGGATTCCACTTTCACTTAACATGAGGGTAATTTGATGCGACACGTTTATGAAATAAAATCAACATTTCTGTTAAACGTGTTAGTTTAAAACATTATTATCCAAGTGAATATTTTATTTGCAAACAGAGAAGGTACCATAGCCTACATAAAAAGTTACCACAAACTTTAAAATTTTCTCTATAGATTGTGAACCTTATGGCAAGTGATATACAGCTCAAAGTTGTTTAGAGACATTTGTCTTTATATCGCACTATTATTTCGCAAACATCGCTACAGGTTAGCGTCATTGATATCCGAGTGCCAAAAAATAATATTGAGACATTTGGCATTTGGATTCGTTACGACCTTTTATAGTATAAATACCAAGTTTGTACCTCTTGGCTATAACTATGTGAACGCATATACAATACGTCTTAAATATGAGGCACTTAATAAGATACTGTTATAAATTCTACTGCCTCAACTGCAAATGCACCTAATTATAATTGAATTGTATGACAGAAATAATAGTGCATTGTATATGGGAAATAATGAAGAGATCAGACGAAACAGATAAGAACCTATACTTTAAATTAATTGTTACGGTACACCTTAAAAGTAATTATTTTGAAGATTTTACATGAAACATAATCATTTTTAACAGCGAAATGGAAATAAACGGTTCAAATAGAATCACACTCTTTATTCATTAAAGAGACCCTAAAAACTTACTTACTAACAAAAATATAACGTCAACAAAATTTTGTTTTATCCGTCTGTAGTCTTCTGCAATTTTGTGATTGTTTCCCCATATATTTAGACCCTCAGATACCATGTGTCATCCCGGAATATTGGATCGGAACTCGTTGAATTTCTCCTTCAATAAATTGACTGTTTCTCTGGTACTAAGACAGGCGACGCTAACTTGCTGAAACCAATTGTCCCTCAGGTCCATTTATTTCATACGGGCACTTCAAGTTTAATTAACCCTACCTTTTAGTAACTCGAACGTCAATCAAATTATCCTAAGTCAACGTGTTTCTTGAATCTCCGTAAAAGGTTTCTTCACCGTAATATTAATATCTTGGAAACTTATCTAGAATAGTATTAATTCATTTTTCAAAAATGAATCTCTCCTTCTGGTCTCTTCTGAACCAACTTAATTTTATAATGTAGAATCACCAATGCTTGTTAAGATCGATGGCGTTTTGAAAAAAGAATCTCTTTGGCATTTACTTACTACTGCTTTTATTGTGATATTATTTCAAAATTTTCCTTAATCATGGGTAAACCAATGTATTACAAGCATAATTTGTTTTCAATGCAATTTACAAACATTGCTATACCGTAGAACACTAAATCTTTACGTGACATTTGAACGAGGTACTTGCATGTTGCAACTTTGTGAACAACGGAGCAGGTACAATGCAGTGCTCATGCGCATCTTCCATCATAATAGCGTAAGCTATTTTCTGCAGAACTCCACAGAGTAGCTTGCATAATAATTTCTTAATTAATATTGTTTATATGCGTTTGTAAACTAAGCCTGACTCTAGTCTACTAGACTTTTCGAAACAATCAAAAGCACCTAGTTTTTTAAAAGAGGTTTGCTCGAAACGGAGCTTCTGTTTGGGGAAGTAACCTTCACCTTAGAGAAGACCACAGTGAAATAACACTATCTTGGGTGAGTAAAGATTTCTAAGGGGTAAGGATTAGAGTTGAGTCAAGTGTAAGGTGAGGGCCATCCTCACCTCACATCTATATTTTGTCCAGTTCAAAATTTAAAAAAAAGGAATATAAAAAAAAATATATAAGTTAAATATTTTAAACTTCACATTAGAGTTGAGTCCAGTGTAAGGTGAGGATGGCATCTATATTTTGTCCTTGTAAAAATAAAAAAAAAGATTATAAGTGAAATATTTTAAACTTCACATAGCAAAACTCAACTATTTTAATTTTCAATAAGTAGTTATCCCGCAGTGGTTCCGTGACATTTATAGTAATATTGGATACTAGCCGAGAATGCAAACGAAGTTTATGTGGCAACCGGTGCCATATCACGTTTGTGTGCCGCGCAGGCGCATCCTAGTAACTAGCGCCATCTGTTGAGAGTTCTGGAATTTACGACATAAATTTTCAATTTATTCATTACATGTCGGGCGGTCTGCCTAGATTTTTACACTTTTATTTTCTTCTTTTATATTTCCTTAATCATAAAAAAATTAAATAACAAAAAATATTTCGTGATGAATTTTTAACATTAAGATACACATTCTCAACATTGAATATTTCCTGTTTAATGAAAGAATACATGTTGAATGTTATTTAGTGAAAATTTTTTTTACTTAGAAATATATCTTTGTATTTTTGTAAGTTTTATTGTTTTCAATATTAATTACTTCTGATAAAGTTTAAAACGTACGGCCAAATTGACAAAAGCTGTTCGAAGTGCAGGAACAAATTTAAATTATAAACAAGAACATTTATTCCAGAAATTCCCACTGGCAATTTTATTCTAATCTTTACTGCTTTATTCATAGACAGTATCGTACTATGTCTATGGCTTTATTTAGCTATTACTATAAACTATAACAGATGAAGCGCAGGAGCATAATTTGCAACAACTGACATGAAAGGATGCGGCCCCGTTCCTCCTCGCAAATATAACTGAGTAAATACCCATTCTTCAACATTAGATTTTAAATTAAAAATTTTATAGTTACTAATAATAATAAATTAATTAAAGCCCACCCGGCATCGGAGTTGTGCAAACTGCAGACTACTTAGATGAACAAATGAAAAACTTTCAGACTTTTTAGATAAATTTTGTAATAACTTTATTCAAGGATTTTCTGATACAAGTAGGTATGTTCTAGAAAAAAATATTGGAAAACCTTTTTTTTTAAATTTGGATACTGGTTAAGAACTTAAAGAATACAGCGAAATTTGGTTACGTAATCGCCCGAGATTAGCTCATCAGCAACGAAAAAAAATTACTTTATGTAATTACAGAAAATTGGCTTGGAATAGAATAAATCTATAGATTTTAGATTAAATAGGTACAAGTACTATAACGAACGAACATTAATGAAACAAGGGAATACCGATAATCGTGTTCCAATGTCCAAAGTGTGTTAAATAAACAACAATTAAGTGACAGGGAGCGCACAACCACAACGAAGTAAGACGAGTCGACTATTTGCAACTTCAAGTCCTTCAACCCCTATAAACCGTTTTGTGGTGGCTCAGTAAGTGCAAGCGCAGGATGGTCGGCAGGCTTTTTCGTATATTTGGTTGTATAGTATGATATGGTATATTATTATGGTTTCGAACAATATAAAATGAAGATACTAAAAAAAAAATTATTAAGCTACTTAAATATGCCCATGTCTCATATCTTTTGACAACCAGAATATTTTTTACGGTGTCATATCTTTTGACTACCGGGATATTATTTTACGGTGTCAATAAAAAAGGCTAGTTTTTCATAGATCTATCGATTCATACTAATTACATTGTTGGCGGAGCTGGGTGTGTTTTGCCCATTGTCCTTTAATGCTTCGTGACAATTGTCCAATTATTTTTATAAGTGTTTGACAATTGTCAAATATTTATGGTACCCTGTAATGGCGTAATCCATATCAAACTAAAATGGCAACTATCGAATTCGAAGGTGAGATATTTATTCATAGAATCGCACTGTTCTCAATACCCAATACATACCTACATAGGAAATACTTCCTTCAACTTCAACCCTCGTATAAAAGTCTATTATTTTTAAGTAAGTCGAGTCTAGATGATTGCTATTGATATAATTTACACACACTTATACTATGTAATTGCCCTTAGGAGTAGCTTTACAGCTTCACGACCACAGATAACTTTATCCTACTTGTATTATAAATGTGAAATTTTCTATGTTCCTGTCTTTGTATGCTTGTTAGCTATTGAACGGGTTTGTATGCAATTTGTTACGCATAACTATTAAGATTATGACTTGGATTGAGACATAGGATGCTTGTTATCCCGGATTTTGTTAAGTTCCTGTGGGATTCTCAAAAACCAATGTTATCGCAGACGAAGTCGCGGGAGCCCACTAGTTACCTATAAACCAATAGAGTCAGATCCCAAGACCGCCAGACCTTACTTATTTTCTCATGGACAAAATATGGATGATCGAGTAGTATTAGTGTTTACAATGAACTTATATTCGCTAACTTGTGCTGTGGGCCAATTTCCAGGTATCAGGTGCCACAGGTACATAAAAATTATGCTCACTTTACTTACAGTCTGCCGTGCGGTCTGATTCTAACGTTAGCTATTGAAGTAAAAGAATATTGTAAACAATTTTAATTTAATACTGTCAGACTTCAGTCTCAGATTGAAAGTATGTTTGTGTTTTTTGCTTTCGACATTAAAAGTGTCTGGCAATAAAAACTACTGACAGAATGTGTCTATACTATATCTGTACTATATATTTAGAAAACAGTCCCTAAACCGTAAGTTAGGTGAGTAAGATTTTTACGTGCCTGGTCCACCTGATACCAAAAAATTGTCCATATTTTGTCCATGAGAAAATAAGTAAGGTCTAGCACTCTCTTGGGATCTTATACTACAATATTCATTGATTATCTGTTGATGGCTGACTCATTTTCGTTTGTCCAGATTGTTTTCCGGATCTAAACATACATACCTGCTACAGAGCAAACTTAGCCACATGAACTAGTCATCAATATCAGATGGTCAGCACAACCGGAGCCGCGTGCGACCGCTAGTAAAAACTAAAGGGACCAG